TGTTTACGAATATCTTCGCGCCACTCACGGAACGAGCCGTATCGTATTTAATTTACGATACGGTTGAACACGATTCTCTCCCTCTCTCTCTCTCTCTCTCTTCGAAACGGAGGGGAGACTCACGAGATCCCTCACCCTTGGTGATGGAGGTTAGTACAACAACGAAATAACAACTCGAATTATCGTCCGAGCAGCTCTCACTCCAAGTTTCTTCGATTGGACGGGTAAAATGAAACGTTGAGGCGAAGTGAAATCGTTAGGCAAATTATTGGGCGATCCCGCTGCTGAGATTTCTTATCGATCCTTCATTATCGGGAATCTCGTTCATCGTAGATTTAACACACAACGCATCGTGAATATATATATATATATCGAATACTGTATCTACCAAGAAGATTACTCGATTACAGGCCCCCTTCGATTATTTTCGAACGGTCCCTCCAACGGTTTAATTTACGACGTTATACATAAGTTTATAAGGTTTTCTAGGAATTCATCGATTACTTTAAATAGATAAAAATTGCACGAATGTTTCCAAATTAGATCGTACCTTTATAAGAAGATCGAACAGAAGAAATCGGAATAATCAATTAATCATCCATTTTGCGATCGATCGATCGATCGATCGAGAGAGAGAAAGAGAGAATTTTAATTCTCAGGGGAAAGGATTAGAAGTTGGGGCGTTATCGCGGGTGTCTCGCGTGTCGCGAGGTCGTAAGCGGCGCTTTTCCAATTTGCGTTAAGCACGGTGGCGAGCGGCACGTAACAACACGCCTCGCGTTCGCCAAGCTTTTTGTCGTGGGGGGGGGGAAGGACATGGTTATCGCCGAATCGATCGCACCGTCTCGTTCACGGTATCCACAGGTGAACATCTCCCTGCTCGCGGGGGAGGATATATTCACGGCATATGCATATATCGGGGGCTGATTTCAAGAACACGGACGAGCCAACGTAATTTCCTCCAGTTCCCCTGTTTTTAAAGCGGTCGTAAACCGGCTCCGCCTGTCGTAAATTTAGCCTTTCTTTCTCTCTCTCCCTCTCTCTTGGTTGGATACGTGTTTGTTATACAGCGAGAAAATTACAGGTGGAGAAGAACTCCTTTGACGGCCTGCCACCGCAACGCGTCTTCCTCTATCCATATCGAACACATTGAATTAACAAAGGGATCGGATAGCGCGTATCGATAGATGCAGATTCGATTATCATTGCAGCTTTAGTCGATAAGGAGAAACACTCTCGCCATAACTTGTAAGTTATTTTAACACGAACCTTTCTCCGTTTCGAGAAATATTCCACGGCACGGGATATAATGTTTTCCCACAATCCGGGGGAGGGATCTTGGGATCCAGCTTGCACGATGTACGGTGTTTCGAGGATCCTCGAGAAGGGATCACGCGATCCGTAATTTCCTAAAAAAATTTCCCCCTCTCCTTTTTTCCTTTTTTCCTTCCTTCTTTTTTTCCTCCACCACGAAGGTTTTAACGGAGGTGAATTACACTCGCGTGAATTTTCGTTTTAATCGGATTATTCCCCCGTTCGGCGAGGGAAGGCGATGGCAAAACGATTCTAACGATTCAGGTTTATAAATATGCGAACGGAGAAATTGCATTTTCTTGAGGCGATCGAGAGCCCCCCGCGATAATTCTTCGCGATTCAACGCGATAAGAAGATAGATAGAGAAAAAATATTATCGAAGATCCCCCTTTGAAATTGATAGATAGAATTTTGTATCACATGTTGATCAACAAGTGTGTCGAACAAGGATAAATTTGATAAAGAGCTTTTATACGGAATTTTGATAAAATTTTAGAAACGCTGAATTCTGTTCTCCAACGAGTTAAATCGATTTCTAATCTCTAAAGATAGAGTAGAAATAACAATTTATGTATGATCACGCGCGTGAATCATCCTATCCTCTGACTTGCCAAAAGTTTGAAAGTTTCTGTTTCCAACGTAACGTTTCCAAGTTAGCTCACAACTTTCGGTTTAAATGATATTATCGATGATATATTCTCCGATTATTGATCGACGAAACAAAAATTTTCGAAACGAAAGAAGACACGGTTGAACAAATTTTATCTCGAGTTTTTCAACCAGAATCGAGCAGTATATGTACGCGATGTATTTCAATCCCGATCGCTCTGATTTATCTCAATTTCATTAAATTCTAATGGCCGCCGCCACGTGAGACGATCATTTTATCGCGCCCATATATCCGCTAGGCCCTGACCATCCTTATATCTCGAGGACAAAGTACACGGTATCAGAAATGCATAGCAACGTGCACCAGCATACAGTAGCAAGACCGCGACATTAATAATTCATAGAGGCGCGAAAGGGGGAGGGAGGGAGGGAGGGAGGAAAGAGTTAAGCTTTGGAGGAATTATAAATATTTAGATCGTTCTCGAGATCGCCGCGAAGAAATGTTAGAAACGCTGAAAACGCCGTTTCGTATAAACCCTTTTTCTTCTCCTCCTTCTCCTTCTCCTTCTTCCCTCCCCCCCCTTTATTTCTTCCTGCAACAAACCACCGCGCCGTTTATATCACACGCGCGGTTACTCTATTTTCTTATACTCTCCCTCCCCTTCTCTCGTCGATTTTTCTCCCCTCCTCCCCTTCCTCCTATCCACGTTTCCGCGAATTTTGTCCCCCGAACGATGCTCCTTCGAGGGGCGTCGATTTTCCAGGAAACGGGGGAGATTGCCGGGATATTAAAAATCGGGAACAACCCGACGATGAACGGCGGCTGTTGTTCGCCGTTATCGAGTGCAATCGATCGATGGTCCGCGGAAAAGACTCTCGAGCGGATTGATCTCGTGGACGAGGAAGAAGAGAGAGAGAGAGAGAGAGAGGGAGAAGAAATTGAAAAAGGAAAAAAAAAAGAGGAAAATAGGGAATGGAAGAATGGTGCATTGTGAAGGGGACGTGGAATTTCAGCGGGATAGGATTATCGAGTTGTGCGTGGCTAGAAACGATCGTTCCCTCCGCGCGTTTCGGTGCGTGGGATCGAGTTCTTTGCGGTGGGAGTTCTTTTTTTTTTTTTTTTTATTGTTGTACTTTAACAGCCACTGCTCGACCCGTTCACGCGCGAAATGGAAACGTATCTTAGAGACAGCCTTTAAGAGAGGCTCTTGTCAATCCATTCTTTCCCGTGCTCTTGTTTTTTCCGCTCACCTGTCCGGTATTCAGTCGATCGATTAACGGTAGACGCACAGTTATACCTCTCTTGCCTTGCGCTTTAATTATTTTCTCTCGGATACAAAAATTCTCGTGCATTTAATTTCATCGATAGGAATCGAGACATCGATCGATTGGGAAAATTATAAAGAGATTCGCGTGCACGAATATTTCTTTACAACCTAAAAATATCAAATAAAAAGGAAGCGCGTTATAGTTATAAATATTTCTCGATCGAAGATAGATTTCGATAGATTTCAAACTATTTTAAATTTATAACTGTTGCGTGACGAATACGTCATAGAAATGAAATCGAATAGACGATTTCCTAGATGTCGAGCCATTGCTAGAGAAATCGTCAATCCATCCCCCTTTCTTTCTTTTTAATCCTCTCCACGAATCCACCGGTTGGCTGCCTCGGTCTCCTCTCCCCTTCTCGATAAGTTGCAGCGTTCACGCGACCTCTCTTATTTCCTGACCCCCGGCGGCCTTGACCTAGGCCTTCTCCCGCGGGGGTCGATCAATCAATGAGAGGAAGACTGGCGCAGGCTGACATCGACTAATTGCGTAAATGGCCCCGATAGCAACGGTCTCGTTTCGCTGCCTTTTCGTTTCGCCCCAACCTCGAGAGCTCGCTTCCATGAAAATTTTCCTTTTCTTTTTCCCCCTCCCCTTCCCCTCTCCCTTTCCTTTTCTTATTTTCCGCATCGATCGATTCTCGCCTCTCGAGACACGAGAGGCAGAAATTGGATCGATATTTGCGATGACAACAGATCGATTGTGAATCGTTGTTGAATCGAGATAGAAGGTAGAGGGGGAGGGATAAAGAAGGAATTGCATCACTCGTAAACGGTAACAAACGATCCGTGCAGGAATTAACCGGTACAATGCGACGCTGATTACGCGACGTTGAAGTTCAGAACTAGAGGTAGAGTTACAGAGCTTTCGATTGTTCATTGCGTAATGGTTCGATCGACGATAATCCGCTGGCGGCACCGCGGCCGCGAGGAGAAGTGCTTCCCTATTAGCCTTAGGTTACGTTGTACGAGCCGTGTGTTACCTTTGCCTCGGATGGATATTAAGCCGATCGATGACGATTAACCCATGGAGTAAATTGAAATTCAATAAGCGGCCGCCACTCGAATCGATGGAGGTGGAGAGAAACGTCTCTTTTCGAAGAGAATCTTTCGAGAATGGCGGCTCCTTTCCAAGATTTTCGGAAAGGAATTGTGTGGGAATTATTTCGAGAATCTCTTAGAATGTAATGATATTTTTTCGGCGTCGTTTGATCAAACGTATACCGATCGATATTTTATATTTACCAGCCAATTTGCCAATTTGTTCGGCGTGAGCGCGATACAAGTTTAAAAGGAGGAAGATAATGCATATCGAGGAAAAGCGCGTATCTTCTGTCAACTTGGTTGGCCCGTCGTCCCGATAACAATTAATCTTTTATTCCTCGGTTAAAATTGTTATGCTTGTCGAGAAGCGTAATAGAGTTTGAACAAAAAAAAAAGGAAAAGAAAAGAAGGGGATGGTTTTGAAAAATGCGTATCGCTCGGGAGGAGGAGGTCTTCGAACTTGATAAATCTCGTTCTATAACCTGTGTCACTCGATAACCGAATATGAATACATTCTAACGTAACGATTAATTATCATTTATTAACGGTCAACCGTTAATATTTCTCATTCGTGTAAGCGCGGCGTAACATCGTTACAACAACGTTACGTAACGCAGATACGAACAAGGCTCTCGAACCAACAAATAAAAGTTTTTTAACAATTATTATGCCTCTAACGTGTTTTTTTCTTTTTTGTTCCAGACGTCCAATGGATTAACGTCGCGACGTGGCGGTGAACAGGAGAGGCAAAGGACAATCCCGTTCCAATTTGGAATTTCGAAGACGTTTCAGCGTTAGGAATCGTTCGTAACGATGTAAAGAACAATGTAACACCGTTGCCGTTGCCAGATAACCGCAACACACGTGTGGAGAATATTAAAAAAAAAAAAAAAAAAAAAAAAAAAAAAGAAAGAAAGAAAGAAAGAAAAAAAAAAGAGAAAGAGAAAGAAAGGCGGAAGAGAGAGAGAGAGAGAGACAGGAAACGAGAGGGAAGGATAATAATCGGTGAAGGAAAGGCGACGCGATCGATCGGCTCCTCGAAAGAAGCGCCCGATCGATCGTTTCCTTTCGAAGGTGCGCTCGTTTAGGATCAACCTGGCTTTCTTTTTCTTCTTTTCCTTCGATAGTTCCCTGGAACGAAGTTGAACGGTGCTAGATCGCCACACGATCGCTCGACAGTCGACACCGCCTACTTTCTATCGCCCTGAAACGACTCCCGAGGTGCACCGCCGGTAAAATCCTCGAGAAACGAGTTTTACGGCCGATTCTCACTGTGAAACGCGACGAAACGACCGTAATTATCCGAGGATAGTACCGTGAGCCTTTCTTTCCCATTTTTTTTTTCCCCATTCTTTTTCTTTTTCTTTTCTTCTTCTTTTTTTCTTCTCCGCTTTCCTTCTTCCTTTCTTTCCTTTGTTCACTGGCTTTCTAGGAAGGGGGAAGGGAGTCTAGTGGAAAACAACTAGTGGAAAAAATACGAACGATGATCGATCGACGGTAAAAGAGGATCGATTCAATTAACCCTTAACGTGTGACACCTCTGTCGCGACAATTTGTAATTTTATCGTACGAAGAACGATGCGTGTCTTCTATCAAGGCTTGAGGTCTCGTCTTAACGTGCCAATTTTTCTCTTCTTCGATTTAATCTCTGGAAACTCGCTCGCCTTTCAAATTACCCATGTCCATTTTATTTCGCTTGATCACGATTACATAAAACATGTGCAAATATTTGCCCGCTTATTTGAGAAATATATATATATACATTTTCGATGGAAAATGTTAGCTCGAATAAATAATTCGACAAACCATCTGCGCTACAATTCATACGAGATAAGATTAAGATTCGTCAAACAATTCGACACCGAATGCTTACGTGTGGCGATCTTTGCGAATCGTTTTTGTTTTTTTTTTTTTTTTTCTCTCTCTTTTTTTTCCCCGAATCGTTTCGAACCGATCGTTTCATCTTGTTTTGCAGCTTTGTTACACGGTGTTAATCGCGGAAGCTCAAGAGCCCGAACGAGCGAGGACAAAACGAGAAAATCCGAGGGAAACTACTCGACTAACACCGAGTCACCCTTGTATCATAAGCAGATTAGATTAGATTAAATTAAATACCGAACGCTTCTCGCTCTCGTCGTTAGAATCACGACGAACGAACTTGTACATCGTATATATATATATACGTGGTGTAGCCTGAGGTACGGCCATAAACAGAGAGAGAGAAAAAGAGATAGAGAGAGAAAGAATTGAAGTGATACATTTAAATATATATATATATAAAATATAAATATACATACACGAGTAAAATCAAGAAGGGAAATTAAGACGAGATGTACAGAGATCCGAACAGTTCCTCGGGAAGCGGCACCTCCACAAAGGACGACGAGGTCGAGATCGTTAGCAGATTTTTGGCGCCTTTGTGCGCGAGAGATGAAGCTGCCAGAAACATCGCCTTGGCGGCGGCCAGGAACACGGTCGAGGGATGGCTCGGAGGGGTTGGTAGTCCGAATCATTCGGACGACACCGGTGAGATGGAGAATTCGGAGAATCTGGGGGGGAAGTTCAAGAGCCAGGATGGAAGGTGAGTGTTCTGACGTGTGAAAAGGCATCGATGTAATAATATATATTGCATGCGTCGATATTTTATCGTTTCCTATCATTTCTCGTTCAGCTTTGCGATAAGTATATGCGGTAATGCAGCGAGATACGTGTTGTGTGTGATGAACTTGATTCGATTCATTTCATATTATTAATTTAAATCGTGAACATATGTACGTTTCGAGTCTAGATTTTGTGACAGTGTTGCATAACGTGTGAACGAGTTATCTTTGTTTATTGTCAATGTTTCGATGGGTGTAAAGTATATGTAATAAATATATATATATATATATATATATTTATTTATTTATTTGAAAAAAAAACACTGGTCCAAAATTATTACTCGATGTAGATAGGAAAAGTTGATTAAATGAGAAACGCGCGGTTATTTTTCTTTATTCTGATTTTTAAAAAAAAAAAAATGAAATGATGAAATATTCCCATCGTATATCATAATGTCTATAAATTTCCAGCGTTCGACCGTTAAGATCGTTGGTATTAATAATTTTCTTGGAATTCAATCTTTATTTCTTCTTATCGTCTTCGAAAGGATGAAAAAAAAAAAAAAAAGAAAAAAAAAAAACTTATGAATAATAACATAGTGGCGCGTATGTTTCAACGTATATATTATATTGAAAAGATTTATTCACCGATATAATAACAATCAATCAGGGTTGGTACAGAATCAGAGAGAAGAGCTCGAATAACAAGCGAATTGCATTTTCCATTCACTTCCGCACGAATTTTTCTCCTGACCTTTTTTTATATCTTAAGTTTTCGCGAAGCTCTAATAGACACTTCATTTCACCTTTCACGCGAAGATACGACATGAACATGGAGCGATCACCGACCAAGTCGGCACCGAAGAACGTCCAGCCTCCTCTCCAGCAGGCTCTGCTTCAAGACACGTTCAGGACGGAGGGTTTCTTTCCTCAGAGCGTCACCGAGAATCCCGCATTCCTCGAAGATACCAGCCTCGACTGTTCCGAGAGATATCCGTCGGGCTCGTTCGATTGCGTGGACGGGCGTCTTGGAAACGAAACGGGCTACGGTACACCGAACGAGAGGCGAAGATACGTGGCCGACGTGGACAGTTACAGGTCCGGCCACTCGACGTCCTCCGACGAGGGGAAAGGTTTCAAGATCGATTCTCAGGACAGGTGTCTAAGGTTTAAGGACACGTCGGAGGCGCGATTCGGGTCGAGCAGCGAGAGCGAGAGGAAATACCTCGGCTCGTCCTCGAGCGAGAGATTGAACGAGGCGTGTCTGGAGGATAGGCCCAGAGCGAAGAACTACGTGAAGGTGAAAGGCGCGAAGCAGAAGCAGCTCGAGGATGACGAGCTTGACTCAGATATAAGGATATACGGGAAGAGCCCGAAATTCGACGAGAACTTGGGCGCGAATTTCGACCGGAGGAATTTGAACTTCCGCCCGAAGGGCGACATCCTGCCGCGGGAACGACTCTGTTACGACAGTGTGGACGATGTCTCTTTCGACGAGACCGAGATGACGATCAGGAACCGGGACGGGGTTGTGTTCAACACTCTGGACGGTTTCGAGAACGAGAACGCCAATGAGATATATCACAGGCAGGACGACAATCGTGCGGAGGACACGAAGTTGAAGAACTTCGAGATCTATCAGGATGAGACGTTGGACGATGGCAGGCTTCGTTCCGCTCGTGTCGAGTTGCCGCAAGATTATTTGAGGAAAAACGAGGAACGGAAGTTCAGCGCTGGACAGATCAAGAGACCACTCTCCCAGGACGAAGATGTCTCTTCGAAGAGTGGCAGGGTGTTGGAGAGTCCTGACGTCACGCCCGGGGATGTTGGTAGGATGCTTAATCTGGGAAATGCTCTGGATGGGCCGAGGCAAGCCCAGGCGAATAAGTATTTGAGCCTGGTGACGTTGCATCTACCGGTGATATTGAGGCTTAGCGTGAACTGCCCCTTCCAGAATGTTAGGATCAAGTGTGCGGAGATTCTGGAGATGGTTAAGGTGAGCGTATATTAAATCTTTAATTACGTACGTGGTACGTGGTAGGATTGGTTCCCGGTGTACAGGCATTTACAATGCAAACTTAAATTGCCTATAACTCGAAAAACAAATATCAATGTAATATTTTTGCATTCATTCTCTTGATGTATAAAATAGTGATAAATGTATGATACATACGTGTAAAGTTTTTATAAAGAACTGAAAAACTATCATAATGATTTTCCGATAGTATATTTTATGCATCAGAGTTTGATTACTTCGAGTTGATGGAGTTATTTTAATCATCTATTTATGTAACAACGTTGAATCATGGTCTAAAAATATGCGTTAGCTATTTTTTTGATTTGCTCATTTTCTATGGTGTTGAAAACATATCCCCTCTCCTTCTCTATTAGCCGCGTTGGTGCGCTATTTGTGTTCTCTTCGTTTTGGAAGTTGTTTTTTATTATAATCAATAACACACACAACAGCCCTACCATGTAAAGCCTGATCAATAGTTGTTCTCTGTATGACTTACGTGAGATACATAATTGATTATAAAACTGAAGTTCAGCTGCATTAAATATTTTTTTTATCATGATGAGTCATAGATTTCTCTTTTATATTTTTTTATAATACATTGCTCGTTTTATTTTTTGAATAACAGAGAAAAAATCTCGCCCAACGTGGGGCTCGAACCCACGACCCTGAGATTAAGAGTCTCATGCTCTACCGACTGAGCTAGCCGGGCTAACGTTAAAAATCCCTAATTTTCAGAAATATTAAATATCGAAGAATAAAATTTTAAACGATTAAAATATTTATTATTATTACAGGATAGAGGACTTCCAGTACCAGTGCCAGCTTTCGATGGACCTAGTGCCTTCGTCCCTACGTCCGAGGTAAGTACTTTTTATAACATGTTTCTCGCATACTTTCATTCCTTTAATATTTCAATATTTATTATTTTCTTAAATATTATAATGAAATTGATCGAACATGAATTAACATCAGATATATGAAATGTTTAAGAATTTGAATTGATAGAAAGAAGTTGATCGATGATCGAAATAAATGTTTTCTGAAATTTTAACGAAATTAATTATATTAATTTTAACGAATATTAGGGTAAGAAAAACAAAACGATTACAGTCTGTTTAATCTAGGACATTGAATTGGCGCTCGTAGCGCCGATAAGCTTTGCCTTATGATTGGTAGTTGTCGGTAAAAACGATCCTCACGATTGGTTGAGAGAAGGACGATGCCATGGATTGATTCACATTTACTTGTCCCCCGGTAACCTTCAATTTAGTCTAATTAAGAACAATTAGGTATTCTTGCAGCTTAAAGTACAATTCTTTATAATATGTCAGTTAAAGGAATCTTCTTTATCGGTTAAGTCAATAAATATTTAATGCAATTAATTATATGAACGTAATATATGAAAATATATTTAGGTTTATATCGAAACATTTACATCAATATATAAGATTCGTTCACTTATTATGCCAATAATTTAATTTGTACAGATAATTTTTTTAATTCTGTATTTTCTTGATACGAGGTTTCTCGTTTGTCGAATATTATTCGCATATACATATATTTACGTAATGATTTTTGAGTAGTATCTGTTAAAAAATTATTTGAAATATTTCTTACGGCAATCGATAGATGGCTCTGTATGTGACTATTCGTGCAAATTGTCGCGCCAATTAAATTCAGTAAGCGGAATAAATTACAAAATTAAATACGTATCAAATAATCTCCATCTCTATATTTTAAATATTTTTGCTTTTATCTAAAACTGTTCTGGCTTTCGATTTAATTAATACCAATCCTATTATATTTAATAAATTAGCGAAGAGATAATAAAAGTATGATATTTAAATTATATAATTTCCAGTAATAAAAAATTGTTTCCATATTATAAATACGCGACCTTGCAAAAAATGAACAAGCAAATGAAATTTGATTACGATTCTTTTTTAAGAATGAATTACATTTCATATATCTGATGAAACATGTTTATTACATATGTGTGAGTGAAATAAATGTTGTATCTCTATTTTTCTGCAGTTTCTGACAGTGCGTCTTAATCTTTCTTTAATAATATACGTACATATATCGACAATTGTATCGAGTGTACAGTTTCTCGATATCGTTCTAAGATCTTTCTCTTACGGTATTTTCGCATGAAAAGTGAATATTTTACTTCGTGCCGTTCAAATTTTACGTTATCTTTCGTTACCTATCTTTTGTGCAAAGAAAAATATAAAATCAATGACAGGTAAGTACGAAATAAAGTTTTTTCTTTGAATAATATATATTTTAGCATAATTACTTGAAATATTATTTTTCTATTTTCTTAATCTTAATATTCCTCAAACGATATATAAAAATTATTATCAATTTTATTTTTCATATTTTATTTATTATCTTATCCTGATTTTCAATTTTATTTAGATACGTTGGTTTCAATACATAATCACTTTCTCACGAATAAATAAATTTAATTTCCAATGATACGATCTTAAATGATAATCTTACGAATCTTGAAATCTTGATTTTGCCAGCTTGAATGCTTGATTTTGAATTTTTATACGAACTTCAAACATCAAATTAACGATACAATTTCAATGACTTTATACATCATTGACATTACTTCACCTTTCGTTTTCATTTTGCATTACGAATCTATTTAGAAATGCATTTATTCGTTACATAAATATATGACTGTGTTCGTAAAAATTTAAAATGTAAATTATCAGGCAGCATTTTTAACGAACCGATTATAATAATTCGTCTAATTTTCTTTTCTTTCCTTTTTTTTTTTTTTTTTTTATTATTACATAAGTGCGATATTTATAATGTAAATGTAACGCGCAAATAGTTCATTTTCACGTATTTTATATATATATATTTCAAGAAAGATTCACGTATCGAATTACTTTCATCTTCGATCAAAGATCGACATTTCGCCCGTGGATATTAAAATTAAATCCAATCAATCGTGCTCGAAACTCCTTTCCAGAGAAAACTTTCTTTTCTATCCTTACATTTACATTTGTACACCCTTATCATACAATTACCATCGACAGCCATCGTAAGATTCAGCAACGAGTTTGCAAGTGCAAACACGGGACGCGTTCCTCTTCTCACGGTTAATCGATAACGATTCTTCCGGTTCGCGCGACACGCTCCTCGGAAGTAGGGAAGAATGGAAGGATCGAAAAATTGCAGGGTAAAATGGCTGCAAGAATTCCGGGATAGCTATCCACGAGTTAGCCAATCTCACGTGCTTGTGCAGCGGAATTCAGCTAGCGCTGCATCGAGCCAAGTTCAAACCGCCCTGAATTTCTAACATGGTATGCGATTTCTGCGGTATCTTGGAGAGATGCCCAAAGTTTGGCAAGAGAAAGAGGCGACGGACGGTCGTCTGGGTTGGAAGGGGGGCGAGGGGCGAGGGGCGAGGGAGCTCACGGGAATCCTGGTCAGGTCATTGTGAGTCGTAACTCGGTCCAGCGACCGCAAGTGGCTGCAAGTGTCTCGTATACAAGCTCCATTAAGGATCTAATTGAATCCCTTTCCTTCTCCGTTTTCTTTTCCGCTATCATTTCCCTCCCCCGCCACCCCCTTCTTCGCGCTCGAGTTCACGTTTTCGAGAGAAACGTGGCTGGTTCCTCCGTTGAAACCCTGATGTCCTCCTCCTCCTCCTCTTCCTCCTCCTCCTCCTCCACTTCCTTCTTCTCCTCCTTCTTCCTCCTTCCTCCCTCGCTTCCCTCCAAATCTTATTACCCACACCGTTTTCGAATTCTCGTGTAATTGCATTAAAACGGCGGCCACGACAAACGTCTCGGGTCACGTATAAACGATCGGGGTCACCGACTTCTTTCTATGCATCTTTCAATTGCTCGACCGCTATTCATCGTTGACGTCGGGATATTTGCAGTCACGTGGATTGCAAATCACGTCTGGATATACGGCACGTTGCAACTACACCGTGTACATAAATGTTTTATTTATACGAGCGGATATGATTATAATTCAAATGGTCTAAGAGATTATTTTAGAAACTTTGTACCTCTATTTTTTCTTTTTTTTTTTTCTAGCAGGTGAGCGTTAAACAATTTTTTTCTTTATTAGATTTAATTTCGTTTAAAATAATTGGAAGAATAAATTGCATATAATAAATTATTTAATTATATTGGATATTACGATGTGATAAGAAGATAGTTATCGTGTTGGTAGGGCTCGATCGTGAAATGAATTGCGAGACATGGATAGGAGAAAGGAGAATATCGTAAAATAAGGGATAGGATAGGATGGATATAACGAAATTTCTCATGTAAATCCTTTGCCATTCACGTAGTCCACGCTTCGCGATAAATAACCAGCTGCTGCCTCGAATACTTATAGAAATATTATCACAAGAAATATTTTTAGACAGACGAATTGAAAATGAGTAAGATATTTGATACAATTTGTCTTTCGTCCCGAAAACATTCCGAATTTTCTTCAATTTTCTAGATACGTAGGATGTGATCCAAAATCATTCATCGTTTGCCTCGTATTGGATTCGTGTCAAATTCATAAATTTTTAGGTTAAACATTTCACAATGTTTTATATCTTTTTCTAGCTTTGTTTGACAATATCATTGCTTATTTATACTCGATCTGTTTCATCGAAGAAGACGTTGCTCAATTTTTTCGATTATTCTTTTCCACTAGAAAGAAAATATTTTTTTTTCGAATTTGTTGTTTATTTTAATTTTCGCTCCAATAATTCGAAACCGATATCGAAGATGATAACCACGACCATCCACGATATTGGAGTCGGTCCATTGATAAAGAATTTTTCAGTTACTATACGTTTTTCGATATCGATATAACCTTCAGGGTTGGGTTATCTTTATGACTTATTATCTAATACCAGTGTAATGAACAGGAAGATATTACATAGTAGGAAGTTGTATCCATAAACAGGCGGATAAGCATGCAGGGAAGATTAAATGAGCGGGTAAGAAAATGGGGTGGATGAAGGGAAGGATGATGGGAGGATCAGAGAGAAATTGGGGTATTCTTTGGGGATGGATTGGAGCAAGTATAATAATCGGGATAGTTACGAATTATTGTACTGTTTTATTTCAAGAGACAAGTAAATTCTCGTAAATAAAGCCAATCGTTTGCTTGAGCAGATATTTGTAATGGAGCAAGATAATTATTTGTTGAATTATTAATATTTTTTTTCTCTACTACTTTTTTATCTTCCCTGGTATTTTACCGGTTATCTTTACGTAGAAAACGAGGAAAATAGAAATAAATTACAGAATAATTTACAAATAAATTTTATAATTACGTAAAGAAATATTATTTTAAATAATAATAAATTTAACATAAAGTATATTTTCAATTATAAATATTACACAATATTTGCCTATGATTTAATCATTAAATGAAATAATATTTATAAGAATATCTTTATTTGTTCCAATTTATTTCAAATTCTGCTTAATATCTTGTCACATATTCCTACTAAAAAATCATGATACTTTGGCATTGAAGAGCTTCAGCGTCTGTTAAAAATTATGAATTTTAAAATGCCTTTTAAAAATGTATTTTTTTTTTCCTTTTTCTTTTGCGTACACAATCATTTTTAATGCTCTTTCTTTCAATGTATTTTTCAATCGTGTAAAATATCGGATTAAACGAAATTAGCAGTAGTTAGAATTCAATTTGTTCTATGGCTTTTAAACGAGGATTTAATATCTCTGTTCAGTGATACGAGTTAATACCATACGAATTATATATTAGCTTTTGATTTTCTATACCGTTGCAAAGATTCTCGTGACTTGCATTTCCGATCCATTAGTCGCTAAGTCTGGCACGCCTTCTGTTAAACAAG